ATTAAGAAAATAATAACAAATGATTAATTTAAATGAGATTTAAAGAAAAGTGAATTTTATTTTAGAAAACACCTCAAGCTTGTAAAGAGATGACTTAGCGGACATGCGCACTCTGATATAGGTTTTCAAATTTATACCTTTGATCGAAAAAATTATATATGAGCATATGTGACCATATCGTGTCATAAGTATATTTATTGTTTTATTAGAACATCTCAAGCCATCTATATCTTGATATGGCCAATATTCACATCAGGCCGTATAAAAGATTAAAAAAGAAATATAGATATATCAGATCAGATATCGTCCTATCAAATTTTTGATATGGCTATATATGGGCATATCAAGACATATCAGAAAATTTTTTCACCGATTTAAAGAATTTAATTAAAGAAATTTTAAACTTTGTTGAGAATCATGATTTAATATTTTTAATGTATTAAAGAATAGAATAAATCATTTTTTTCCTACAGCGTAATCATTTTGTAATTAATTTCAAGTCATAAAATCGATCACGATACAAAATACTTATTTATTTTTCATTTCTAAACTTTTCAAATTAAGTAAAAACACAAAAAGGTTGACTTTTTATAACAAATAAATCTTCAAATATATAAAATCTTTAAAAAATTTGTGAAACTGTAAATGTTAAAATGTTTCAGTACAGCTGTATGCATGTATTTATGTTTGCAATAAAAGACTATGATGATGTTGAAATCTGTCTGTCAGTAGGCAACTTAAATTTTATGAACCAACTATTGACACCCATAATACGAAGCATTTGAGGTCGTGCATTACTCTCAGCTTGTCAAGGTCAAACAATCTTTTCATTTTACTTTTTCTATCATAATACACTGGCGATTATATTGAAAAGAGAATTAAAATAAATGAGCTTTTTGGAAAATTACTTTTTAAAATACACCGTAAAACATTTTTTGTCATTGTGTAAATAAGTGTAAAAATTTGTGGGTAGAATATTACACTCTGGTGTGTACAATTTAACATTCTCATGTGTTGATTTAACACACTAGAATGTGAAATTCTACACACTAAAGTGTAATATTATACACACAAATTTTTACACTTTACACAATGGCGAAAAATTTTTTGCTGTGTAAACAGAAAATTTCAAGCTTATCAACGATACAATTGAATTTTTTTGATATTTTTTTTTCAATTTTTAAATCATCAAGATCGTACAGAAATTTATAAAATTTTGATTTATCATAAAATAAAAATTAGATTAATAGTATATTACGACCCAAAGCCAGAAAGTTGGATTTCCTGGCGTATGTGATATGATGGCCGAGGCATAGCCGAGGCTATCATATCACATACGTCAGGGCATCCAACATTCTGGTCATGGGTTGTATACTATTTTTCTTGCTCTCCAGCCGAAAGTACGCAACCCCGGGGAAGGGGTTTTGCAAAACCGAGGCGAAGCCGAGGTTTTGCCGGGGGTGAGGGGGGCGCCGCCCGACTTTTGTAAAGCCGAGGCGAAGCCGAGGTTTTACTGGTCGGGGCGGGCATAATAAAAAAGTAAAAATTAATAAATAAAAAAAAATAAGTTATTTTAAAGTTTACTAACAAACGCTCTGATTAAGAGAGATAACATGCACAGAACTTGTCACAAATATTTAAACTCGATTTAATAACAGAATTAATTTTTTTAAGTTGATTAAAAATTAGTTTTTAATTAGACGGCTAAGAAAAATTGAAATTTAATTATTAGAAGCTTGTAGAGTACATGGATTGTTTTATAAACAAATCACTTTACTATAGCTGTCAAAATATAAAAGAAAGCAAATAAAACCTACAAAACTTTTATATTTTATTTTATAAAATTTTTATATAAATTATTTGTGCAGTATAATAATACTAGTATTACTAAATAGTTCATTAACAATAATCTAGTAAGAAATTATTTTTACTTATTTGACACTTTTTGGTTAGTTTATGTGTTGACATGTTACATACAAACGATGTTGTGACTGTTATATACAGTCAAAACTCGCTGTATAGNNGACTGAGCCGGCCGTAAATGTTGCTCTTCCTGGAGTAAAGTGCGTCCAGGATGAGCGTACTTTCGGCTAGGAGAGCAAGAAAAAATAGTATACACACCTTGGCCAGTAAAAAGTAAAGCCTCAGACCACATGTTTGTCAACCTCGGCTTCGCCTCGGCCAACAATTACATGTGATCTGAGACTTTTCTTATTTTACTGGCCTAGGTATGTAATATACTATTCTATAATTGAACTCATGTGTTGCTTTAATGACAGAAAAAATAATAATTTCCTTTTGAGTGTTTTCACTTACTGAATAAGACAAACGAATGAAACAAAATTTTGAATAAAGTTAGACTATGACAATTTTAAAAAATCAAGAAAATAAAATTCATAAAAATCATTGGGGAGCTATACCATAAGAGCTTCATAAAATGGATGATGGGGAAATAGCTTGCAAGATATTTTAGAGTTTCTCAAAGCACTTTGGAACATGTTACTGATTATCTGTCGGACTCAGAAATGTTTCTGATGAAAGGATTGATTCTCTGGTCTATTTTTTTATTGCAACTTACTAGTTATCCTTCACACCTCGTTTATTTATAGTTTTACTTTCTCATTTTCGGGTTTTTTTACGGATTCAATGTCAGCTGTCTTTTATGGCTCAACCAACACTACAACACAATTTTGACTAGCTGAGTATTATTCAATGACAAAAGTCATTTGTATATAAGCAAATTTAGAATAATTTTTCTTAAGCCTCTTGAACAAAACTATTCATTAATTAATAGTTTCTAATATTCATTTGATTTACTGTGAAAATAGGTTGAAATTTTATGATTTAATATTTTATATATTATGAAGCAGCATACTAATACATACTATATACATTAATATCATCCAGTTTTTACATCTTTAAATACACTAAGCTCCGGATTAGCTGAGATTTCTTTCCATGAATCTGACAAAAATAATTCAGAGAGAGAAAAATGTATTACTGAGGTTTCCTCTTGATATCAGGAACCTCAATGAGATTCCAGACGTGTTGTGATTTTGAACAAAGAAACCAGAAAGAAAGAGTAGCAGTGATCCCCACAAACTAAATAAAAAGACAATAGGAGGTAGATTACTTTGATTAGGTACAGTAGAAGAAAAAGAAAATAGTCTATGCAGCCAAAAACGAGAGAAAAAAAATATAATAACAATAAAAATAAATGCCGCAGACACAAAAATGTATTTAATAGATAAAATAAAAAAAAAGTTAATGGAAAATGCCGTTAAATAAATGATGCCACAGATTATTTATGTATACGTTGATTATATAATTACATACTTTAAAAAATTAATTGCGATAAAAGCAATGAATATCATTAATTAAATACCCAAATTGACTCATTTTGTCCGGTGCTTAACGGTCCATTTTTCATATAAAATAATTACCTTGATTTGGTATTAAAAAATAATTGCAAAATTTATGGTTTTATAATTTAAATTGAATTGTTCAACATTAAACGGAACGAACACGAGTTTGCCTTTGAATTCTATCATAAAATATCAAAGACTTATATATTTTGGAATCTCTGGAGGCCTACTATTCAAGATTGGCTTATAAGGATCAAGTGTTGTCTATGAAGGTGTAAAGTTTCGGAGTGTAATGATTTTATGAGTCCACAGAGCTTGTTTCTAGACTCAACTCTCGTCATTACAACTTGAATCCCTCTTTAAAATAATTTTATTAGACTATTTGATGTACCTGATAAATCTATTCATAAAGGCGATTTGTATAAATCTAGGAAACAATTCTAGAGTGCCATATTATGATTTTTAAATGCACAAATAATAATGTTTTGGTTTAACAAAATTTTTTTCTTTAAAATTTCATTTTTAACTCAATATTTTTAATTTCTTTTTTATTTTTTAACATTTACTTTTTTCTAAGAATTAACAACTAAGAAAAAATAATTTTTTTTTTTAAATTAAGTTAATTTTTCCTTTCGTGTATTTATTAAAAGATTAAAAATTTTAATTTTTTTAATACATTTTTTAAGACTCAACAATGATTACTATTAAAGAAGAATTGCCTTCATTCACATGCCACATAAAAATTAAATTGCCATTATATTTCATTGTAAAACATATTGATAAAGAAATTTTCTTGATTCAAGACAAAAAACATTAAATTTCTAGAACTAAGTATAATCTACTTAAACCAAGAACAATATTTTCATTCAATAATTTTTCTACTTGATTCCAACTAACAATTCTTGAAAATAATCTTCTTGGTTCTAAATTTTTTTTTTGATCAAGTCATTTCATTATCAGTATGTACATTAAAATCAAACTTACTTATTGATTGATCAAATAAAAATTAAAGATATTTTTTTATGTAACACTAAACTTTTAGCGAGTGAAAAAAATTTTGTTGTTTACAATTTTTGTCATGAAGGCAATGACCACTGCAATTTTCTCAATCATCATACTTTTTTGCATGCTACAAGGTAATTTTAAAAATCATAAATCTAACATCACCATGTAGTATGTAGTCATTACAGATGATCAATATCAGACTTTAGTGCATTATTTTCATGAAAAAAGTATATTTCTGTCGTCGTTGCAGTAATCAGCTTTAAACACCCTCAAGTCCAATTTAACATACGTCGTTAATTATATTATAACCATAGATAATGAAGATAATAAATACTTGAAGCTAATTATAGCATAATATAAATATAAAATATCGTTAACCGTCTAGTCTTACCATTCTACACTATCGGGTAATTTATATTCGCAGTGTTATCTGTATCACACATTATGTACTCCATCAAAGATATCAATAGCAATAAGATACTCTTATTGATCTAGATAAGGATGCTTACTATTTATTTTAAGATTTCTCATTGATTAATTGTTGTCAGTTATATACTTACTATTTTCAATGCTTGAGATTGATCAATAGAATGAAATTTGATAAAAAATTTTGGGTTATTCGAAGAATGAGGAAGTGACAAGTGAACTATTTTACTCACCACACACAACTCGATCGAACGGGCTCATCCAATCTGAAAACAATAAAACATTTTTTAATGGTTAATTTAAAAATTCGTGAACTTGAAATTATAGGATTGAAATTTTAGCAGAAGTAGAAGCATTGAAAAAAAATAGAAGCCAGGAAACATTCAAGATAATTGTCATGAAATTATTAATCTGAAAAATTATAAAAACTGATAATGAAATCAGCAGATATCTAAAAATTTTTATTCGCACTTATAGTTGTTTCAAATTTTCACGTATGAAATTTATTGAATTGTTTCATTATAATGTAATTTTTATAAAAATCTTAAAAAATGCCAGATGTCTGTAAATTTTTGTATCATCATAAAAATACAAGTTTGAACAATTCCGAATAATTAAAAAAGAAAAACATTAAACTGTTTTCGTTGAATTTTAGTTTGACAAGTGATAAATATCTAATATAGATTAAATACACAAGACTAAATGATCAATATTAATTGATGTTTCTTAAAATAACTTCGGAAATAATACCTAAAGTTTTATAAAATGATAATTATTGTTCAAAGTTTTATAATTTCACTCAACTTTAAAATTTTAAATGTAATTATAAAAGTATATACTATTTCCCTATACTACACTATTGTTGCCACTCGACTTTCCAACGCAATGTTGAATAGAACTCGCATTCGCATAAAAAGTGACCTACGGTAATACTGTCAAGACTTGAATAATAAACAAATAAATTAGCTGTCTCTAATAAAAACTGTATAAATATTTCTAAAATTTTATTGCAACTATACATAAGCATTGATTATAATCAAAACATTCTATGCACGTCAAGTTGTTTTGGGTACACAGTAAAAAATTTTGCGTCAATGCGTCAAAAAATTTTGTGTTCAAAATTATTATGTCAAATATTTAACACTTTTTTCTGTTAATTTAACACAATAAATGCTAAATTTATAAATAAAAGTGTTAAATATTTAACACAAAAATTTTTAACACAAAACTTTTTAACGCAATGACGTAAAATTTTTTACTGTGTACATGTGCTTATCATAAAGTTTTTAGGCCTGATAAATAACTAATAATTAATAATAAATAGTTATGTAACAATTTGATAGATCTTTTTCACTTTCAGAACCATTTGTTGCAGTCTGCAAAATAAATTTGACGGCACACGAAATTTTATACTTAAGTTTGGGTTTTAATGATATTTACAGAATTATTTGTCTTTCTAAAGGTCAAAGTAGAGTAATATAAATAAAGATAATGTTTTAAAAATAATTTTTTGTTTATGCTAACATTTAAAAAGTGTTCGATTTATTGAAAGTGGTGTGACTTATTGCTTTTTATAATCGGCTCCTTTGTGTGTCAAATTGCGATAAGACTACACAGACAATGCAATAATAAATAACCGATAATTGATAGTAATAAAATAAAGTACCATGTAGAGCAATTTTAATTCAATTTATTTTTATGCTTGGTTTATTTTGTGTTCAAAATTATTATGTCAAATATTTAACACTTTTTTCTGTTAATTTAACACAATAAATGCTAAATTTATAAATAAAAGTGTTAAATATTTAACACAAAAATTTTTAACACAAAACTTTTTAACGCAATGACGTAAAATTTTTTACTGTGTACATGTGCTTATCATAAAGTTTTTAGGCCTGATAAATAACTAATAATTAATAATAAATAGTTATGTAACAATTTGATAGATCTTTTTCACTTTCAGAACCATTTGTTGCAGTCTGCAAAATAAATTTGACGGCACACGAAATTTTATACTTAAGTTTGGGTTTTAATGATATTTACAGAATTATTTGTCTTTCTAAAGGTCAAAGTAGAGTAATATAAATAAAGATAATGTTTTAAAAATAATTTTTTGTTTATGCTAACATTTAAAAAGTGTTCGATTTATTGAAAGTGGTGTGACTTATTGCTTTTTATAATCGGCTCCTTTGTGTGTCAAATTGCGATAAGACTACACAGACAATGCAATAATAAATAACCGATAATTGATAGTAATAAAATAAAGTACCATGTAGAGCAATTTTAATTCAATTTATTTTTATGCTTGGTTTAATTTCAAAGACAAAGTTATTTCAATTTTATATCTGACGCAAAAATGCATTTTTTAATGTATGATTTTAGGAGAGTAAATTTATTCGACCATTTTTTTACCTACAGCTTATTGTAAATTTTGACCTTGATTCGTGTCTTATTTATGTAATCTTTTAAATTTAATTAGCATCAGAATAATTACAACCTTATGTTTATCATTATTTTTACTCATGGTCATTCATTTATCAGTACTATAATTGAAAATAAAAAGTATGCTTATTATGATGTTTTATTTGAATAAACTTTCATTTTTTCATTTGACCTTGACATTGATCATAGCATTGATGGTTATTCGCTTTGATATCACTTTTTTTTTTTTTTTTTTGGTCACATTTATTAAAGATTTATAAGCGAATATTTTATTGTTGTTGTTCTGTTATTGTTGTTCTGTAACATAATTTGATAAGTAAGTAATGTCAATAATTTATAAGTAGACGGATTTTGAACAAAATGAATATTTTTTTTAGTTTATGAACACCGTTATTTTAATTTTTTTGTTCATTAACAATTCAAAGAATATGTTTATACTTTTCTATTAATTTTAAAAAATATTTTATGAGTAACTAATTATTATTTGATGAAATATGATTTTTATGATTAAATTGGTCTAAAATATAAAGCTCAAGGACAAAAACAGTTATAAGATTACATTTAAGCAAAAGAAAATAATATTTTTAATGCCAACGAGATAATGACTCTCTTTTTACGATGAGAAACTTAGTTTCTTTATAGAATTATTTCATCCGAGAATCGTGAAAACTCAATGGAGATGCAATCTCTAATTACTCAACTTCTATACCGAAACTACTTATCATTGGTATTATCGTTATTATTTTAATAGTTATTATTGTTATATACTTATGCATTCATTGTTGTATGCTACATATCGGTTTGATGGTCTTCAATTACTCTTACCGTTGAACAAAAGCTTAAGCATCAAAAAAAATAAATTTGAAATTTGAAAGATGGTAAAAGAAGAATGCCCTCTCAATATTTTATGAGAAACTAAAAGTCATGAAAACCAAATTACTGCAAATTAATAAGCCTATATTTGTTCCCGTTTGCTTCCAATTACAAACAATTTCATATAACCAAAATAAAGCAAGGATAGCACATAAAATGCCAAAAGATTTGTTCCTCATAAGTATAATGACTAACGACGTTAAAAATAAATTTTTAAATAGTAAATTACCATATAAAACAACATTAAGTAAATAAAAATGACATATGCATAATCTACTAATTAACAAATATCATTTTACATATCAAGGTATCTATTTATAGCTGCAAGACATCAATTATCAGAGATTATTAATACTGCTTCTTCAATGATTCCAACTTAATTAGCTTGGGATAGTACTGAACATATGAAAAAAGTAAATGTCTATTGAAAGTGTACTAAAAATTAAATAAATTAATCGAAAAGATACCAAACATTGCATGATGGAAAATAGAAGTGAGTGTATGCTATAAAAAGTATCCATTAGGAACATTAATGATCAATACATTTTACGACTTTATAGCTTCGAACATAGATGCTTATTACCTATGAAGCGTATGCTCGAGTAGCGACGGCCGACGGAAAGCTCAATTGGCCTTAAAGTCCTATTTACTCAATGAAGTAAGCTATATCACAAGAATAACAATCAATGAAATTCAGAGTTTCAATAATAAATAACAAATGTGAGCAAGCTGTATAAACAACCGGGTGCAGTGATCGGATTATTAGAGCCGCGGATTGCATGCTAATAAAAGCATAAGCAGTGATAGACATAGATCTACGTGACTACTCACCTGTTATAGACATCCAAGGATATCTGGGAATATCAGGTATTCCTGGTTGTCCGGGAGTGGGTTGCTGACAGGAAGTCAGCGGATCAACAACAGACGCTGCGGCGGCTTGGTGATAGAACTGTGCCGCTGCTGCCATGGAAGCTGAAGCGGCAGACACGGCTGATGAGGGTGATGATGAGACGAGACCACTGGAAGCACCACCATTCTGATGATGATGACTTAAATTGTAATTGACTATGGGATCTGTGGAACTGGGCGCGACATTCCCGGTGAGACTGGCGGTGTATCGACAGGATTTATCACCATTGGCGGCATCAACAACGGCAGCTGCTGCCAATGCTGCGCTAGAAGCAACCGATGACCCGAACCCAGGTACCATAGACGAGGTTGCACCAAAAGCTGCTGCAGCAACCGCCTGTTGTTGCTGATGATGATGATGTACCGCTGCTGCGGACACGTAGGGGTACATGCTAGAAGCTGTTCTTGCCGCCGGTGACGTTGAGGCAGAGCTTCCTGAGTGCTGAGGGCTAGAGCCTGTTGGTGAAGGCGAACTGTGATGAGCGTAATTGACAGCTGCCGCGGCTACGGCTGCTGCCGATAGGCTAGACTCTAGGCTTGCGGTAGATGATCCACCTGAGCAAGTCTGAAGAGAACTTGGATTTGAAGTTGCAAATAACTGTTGATGATGAAATTGTTGGTGATACTTAGGTAGCATACTATCGATTATGAACTTAGAACTCATCGCTGCGCAAGCGAACCCCGCACTCGATTAAGGGCAGTCAGCATCTGCCCTCGAGATTATTTGAACCCATCATTGTAATTGTTACCTCAAACTTGGTAAATTTTCCTTGGACTGTTGGTTGTAAGCTCAAAGCATGCTAGACCAATTCTGTTATTTACAAACACTGTATTTTAAAAATTCACAAATGGTGTCCTTTTTAAATCCACAAGATGTTTTCATGCGTTTGTTGGGATCCCCCTCCTTCTGGTATAAGCCTCACACCCTCCCCCTCGCTCAAACTCTCTTTATTGGTACTTTATCCTCACTTTTACTACCACTTATGCAACAGGGCACATAACACACCATGCTAAAATAGTAATAGCTATTTGCCCAAGTTTTAAACAAACTGTTTCAGGAGCGTTACTTAATATTATTAGGCCTAAAACCATCGACTAGAAACACACCATGTTCTTCTTAAATCAATCAACCACTTTAGTCTTTATCTTGCTACACGATAATTATACTAATTAACAAAACACAATGCACAATTATGATCACATAAATAATATTAATAATCGATGAAATACTACTGTTATTAATAATTATCAATATTAATAATAATAAATATTAAATAGCACGAGAATGTCAACAACGATAAAAGGATCCGTCTGGAGTAGTTGATTTTAACCCTTGAAATAGGGCTGTAAGGCGCGGGAGAATGGGAGATCACGGCTTGTCAGGTGTTAGATGCCGTTTCTTGCGTACTTCTCGGATAGTCGACGAATCCTTTATGGGCCATGCATGAAGGTACTATAGCCCCCTATCCTGAACACCGCGTACTACACTACAGCCAGCTAAATGTAACCCCTTACAATAATGGCGCCGCTTGTCTCTTGCAGCCCCTCTCCTCTGAATAGCACAGCTGGTAAACAGAACGGACCAATCGGTGCATGACCTTACGATCAGGGGACCAATCCCAGGCAGGCTAGGCGCGCCAAGATGAATGGATTTCTACCGGTCTTCTCTCTCTTTCCAGCTCACATTTCACCAGACCTTAAATCCTCCGCTCTCGATCTCACTTCCTCTGGATGCTTCTCCACTGTCACACGCTCACTTGGTTTTGCTCAGTTGCCGCCACCACCAGCATCACCGTTGCTGGTATTCCTGTGCTGCTTTCACTGCTGCTGTCACCGTGTGGTACTGGTGTGGCGCTGCTAGCTGGCCACTGCTGACTGCTGCTCTCACTCTTCCCATCTCTCTCTCTTTTCTCGCCTTCTACCTTACATTGAGCACTGCTGCGCTATACAGTCATTCTTGGCACATTGTTACGGCATGCGTTTTGTATTGCTCTGAGGCTCTAAACTTCAGATTATGATCATGACCACGTTATTCCAAGAATGACAAGGTCTTTCAAATTACTGCCCATCATGAATTTAACTGTCTTCAAAACTCCAGTTTCAGTTTCAATTGTCTATTTTACGTCACAACAAGCTTCAAATAAACATTCCAAATCCTCAATAATATATTGTCACGTACATTCTTAATCAACAATTCTTCTGACATGATACTGTTTCAGCTTCAGCGCTTAAATTTGATGGACCATTACCATTAGACTTCTTGATCTAACTGTGGACACTTTCTTCTACTTATTGTCTCTTTCACGGAGGAATTGTTTGTTATCTTTATCATTTTTCCTTCAATTGACGTTTCATCTTACTATTCGGTATACATTTGAATCATCTAAAGTTTTTTTTCTTCACAACACAAGCGAGATAAATAGAGAACTCTTTAATCTGAAACCTCTTCTCTCTTTTTATGTCTTGTTTCTTCTCGGCTTTTACTCACACCGTCGGCTTTCTGTTAATCTCGAATACCATATGGGTACCCTGACCTCATCAGATGAGTACATATTTGCCACTTGACATTAATTTTTAAAGATTTTTTCGATAATATATTGCCTATTAAATTTTTTTCAAAGAGTAATTGAGAAACTTTTCACTTTTGTTGATTATATTTTTATATATTAATGTGTAATGTATTATAAGTATAATTTTTTTGCTAAATCGTAAACAGAGTTTTTTAACAGAGTAACGACGCCATAAATTAATCTATGACTCGACTTTTGATGTCACATTTTCAAAAGAGGAGAATTTTCATCAGCATATATCGTTGAGATACTCTAAGTAGCTCTCGAAAAATGCTGAACCCGTCTTTGCCAAAATATTGAAGACTCTTTTCTCATTTTTCCCCACCTTAGTTTTCCCGTCTTCAAACTTTGTTATAGAGGAGGAAAGAGCGTGAATGAAAAGATATAGATAAAAAAATGAATAAAAATGAAAGGAATAGAAAAGAACGTGCCAGGCATTCTTCATCCTCGAGGCGCGAATAAAAGAGGGTAGAAAAATCTTTTTCAGAGCTGAAAATTCTGATACTCAAGATAATAATAACTTGACGGATAAAATTCCATAATTGAGATAAATTTTATTGTTTCATTAAATTAATTAATTTTAAAAGAAATTAAAAATTTGACAGACAAATAATTTTATTTTAATATCATAAATAAATAGAATAAAATTATTTTTACGGAAATTAAAAAAAAAAAATTATATTATTCGTCCACTATAAAAAGTTGCATGTAGTTTAACCATCCTTATAATTATGTAAAAATTTTTCTTAAGAAAAAATTTTTCGTATCTTATTATATCCTTCATCGAAATCTAATTTAATGTCAGATCTAATTTATTGTCGCTATAAAAATAATTGGGAGATAATAATTTATCTATCAAGTTATAAGATTATTAATATTAATAATAAAATTTCGGGCTTTTGATTTCAATAATTTTATTTTTGTTCTAAAATGAACTCAAGAGGAAAAAGGAAGATCAATAAATAATAATATGATAAAATTTTTAATCTAAAACATAAAATCACTCTCATCACCATAATCAAGTTTAATATGATTTATAGTACTGTAACTTTTAGAATTATAATACTGTTCTTTAATCACGACTATAATAAAACCTTTTCAAATTTGCATAATATAAATTATTATTAAATGTATAATATCAAAGATTATCACGTAATTGCTCATAATTATGGCTACTAAATATTTATTTACAGCCCATCATTTACAAACCTTAATAATCTTATAGTCAATAGAGAAATCTATAATTTACTGATATAAAATAATCAGAAACCAGTAAAATGTGCTCGAGTAAAAAATTATAAATGATCCTCGGTATTAGATGATTCACAATCAAGTAGAATAATTTCACTGAGTCTGTAGTTTATTCAATGGAAATATAAAAAAAAAGAATCGTCCTAAAAATTTTAAGAGCACTAAAATTTTTACGAAACAGTAGCAGATAATTTTTCAATAAAATCTGCATTTAAAAAAGATAATTTTATTTTAGGACTTTATAGCACTTCATAGAGCCTGTTATCTTTGGAAATAAAGTCAAAACTGCCTTAACTACAGTTGATAGTTTTCAAATTTTAATTATTCGATTAAATTAATTAGAATAAAATTATTTAATTGATTAATATTAATGAATTCGACCCTTTGCATTAATACTAACTTTAATTTTGAGGTTTTTAGATAAATTTAATGGAGGAAATTTTAACATATAATAGATTGGGTTTTAAGGCTTACAGTAATATATACTTTTGATACATATGAGTTAAGTGAGGGATTCCAGTATAAGCTTGAATTGATGACACGAGTGTAAAGAAATGACGCATTTGCTATTATGTAGGGGATTGACTACTTAGCTTTGTATACGTGTCGATAAATATGTGTGTGCTGACGAGGTCTGTAGTGAATGTAGCACAATCTTAGACAAGTCTCGTACGATATCAGTTCAAGCCTACCAAGTCACTGATATGAGTTTAAAATTATGTACATTGAAAAAAAAAAATGTTATGATGGCTTTGAAAATTTGAAGAATTCCTGGTCGAATGTTATAAAAATTTTTGTTATGAATCTTAAAAAATATTTAAAATTATCAAAGTTTTAGCCAAAGTAGACAATTTTTGGAGCCAAAAATATTTTTTTGAGTCCAGAAATTTTCTTTCTTCCAAAAAATTTTAATGAATTTTTATTCAAGCTATTGTACAATTTTGAAAAATTCACGAGAAAAAATTGATTTTGGTGAGCACGATGATAATTTGAGACTAATTGAAAACGAAAAAATTGAAATTATTCTCTCAATATATATGACAAATGATTACGCATCAATTTATGAAAATAATCCAGTCCCAAATGGATTTTACGACATTATCCTGTTAATGACACGATCTTTTAAAACAGAGCCCACGTAAAACCTCTCGTAACACGAAAAATGTTTCAATAGTAGGTGTCATTTCACTAAATTTCAGCCATGCTCTGATTACTTATGTGCCTAATATGAAATTTATACTTCACACTACATTAAAACTGAAACTTTTTTTGCAATAATTTTATAGTTGCATAAATTTTAATAATATTGATACCCAAAATTAATCTTTGTTTGTTTAAAATTTACTTACTTTCTGATTCATTTTTTAATCTGATGTTTTTTTGCTGTAAATTAAAGAAAAATAAAATTTAATGGGTTATGATAATAATGGCCCATAATAATAATAAAAAAATTATAATATGCATGTGATTCTAAAAAATCGTGAGCCTGAATTTTATGAATTTGAATCCTTAATATTTTTTAATTGATGACTGTTACTTACCGATCGCGACTTGGTGATTTTTTCTGAAAAAATAAAAAAAGAACAGGTTAAAAATTGTAATAATAATTTATTTATTTTATTTTTGATCAATTGACTAAATATGAAATCAGATAAAATAATCATAAATTAAATCATGTAATTTTTTGGCTAATTAATTCAAAACTGTTCATCGAAAGAAGTCGCAACATTTTTTCACATGATGATTTCTTTTTTTTTGTTCAGCTCTACGAATTCTGTTTTACTTATTTTAAACAGAAATACCTATATCACATAACAAAAATGATTTCTGAGAAAATGAACTT